CCGAACCGCAAACGGCCAAAGAAAATGGGGGGCAGCCGCATGCATCATGGACGTACGAGCGACGTCCATGACCATGCCAATGCGGCGCTCAGCAATCCCATTTTGCTGTGGAGAGTTCGGAAGCATAAAGGTCTAGCGGATGCCTCGTGCACGACAATAGGCCCGCAAAAGGCCAGATGAGAACTCCCCACCTCGGTCAGAGTGCAGACGCAGAACAGGAAAGTCCGAGCCGAAGCTCCTCCTGGGCTGGAGACGAGCTGCGCGGATCCAGTCGATCAACACCTCAGTGACATCACCCTTGCTGCGCAAGGGGAAGACTGTGGTGTAACGCGAGTAGTCGTCAACCACCAGCAGGAAGTAGCGCTCGTGACCCTGTCCACGGACGCGGGCCGGGCCCCACACGTCCATGTGAAGCGTCTGCAGAGGAGCCTCTGTCGGGGGAAATTGGGAGGAGTGAGGGGCAGCCCGGAGCCGCCCCTCGACACAGGGGACACAGGAAGGTCCTGGCCCCGAAGGAAGGGGAGGGAGAGACCGGGGGAGACCAGAGACAAGGACACGGGAAGCCATGCCCCGAAGACGAGGCAAGGAGGGGTGGCCAAGACGGTGGTGCCACAAGAGAGTCTCGTGAGACAGGAGGCGACACGAGCAGGGGGCAGACTTAGGACCAGACCTGGACGCAGCAGCAAACACCTGACCAGACGCAGCTACCTGGCCAGACGCAGGGACAGGAGGAGACTCAGTGGTCAGGGTGTAGAGACTCGACCCCGGCCGACGCGAAAACGTAGCCAGGTGTCGGCCTGTGCGGGCCTCCGAGCAGTGGGTCACCCGCTGACTCGCAGGAGTAAACTGGTGAACCCCCGCATCCTGCAGGTCAGCACCACTCACCAAGTTCGTCGAGAACGAGGGGAGGTACAGACCAGACAGGGTGCCCGAGGGGGCAGCCGGACACGGGAGGACAGTGGATAAGTGAGAGAGGACAGGACCCCCAGAGGGGTCTGCCAGGGAGACTGCAACCGGCCGACTAAGCGGCGTGAGTGTGGTGCGGTCTCGAAAGAAGGAGCGAGAAGCCCCTGAGTCAAGTGTGAAGGTGAGGGAGGCCGAAGCCGACGCAGTACCTGAGAGCGCAGCCTCACCAGTACCTGAGAGCGCAGACGCACTGGCACCTAGAGCAGTAGCCTCACAAGCACCTAGCGCAGCAGTACCAATGCCCGGGTCGGGCGGGAAACACCGGTAACAGTCACCCTCCTCACTAATAGTCACAGCATACATGGCAGCAAGGATAACATCAAAGTCAAGATCAAAGATAGCTACGCCAGCCCTAGACAGCTCTCCCCAGCGGGGAATCTCACTAGCCTCGGGGAACTGCTGACGCCAAGCGTCCGTCAGGCGGCCAAAGCAGCGCTGGGTGGGGTGGGCACCCCCACACTGCTCACCCGCGCGGTCGCCGGAACGAAGGACGTAGGTGCACGGACCAAAACCCCCACCCTGCTGACGCTTCGTGTACCACTCACGGAGCTGCTGGGGCGGGGGGATGTCCCGCGAACGCTGTTGCTGCTGCTGCTGCTGCTGCTGCTGCTGCTGGCGGTGACCACCACCAGAGCCGCTCCGCTGCGGGGCACCACCCCGACCAGCTCCACCCCCTCCGCCACCGCCGCCTCCACCTCCGCCACCACCGCCGCCTCCGCTCCCACCGCTGCCGCCGCCACCGCCTCCTCCTCCGTTGCTGCCACCACCACCACCACCACCACCACCGCCGCCTCCGCTCCCACCGCTACCGCCTCCGCCGCCTCCGCCTCCACTGCTGCCACCGACACCTCCACCCCCACCACCACTCCCACCGCCACCCCCACTCCCTCCGCCGCCTCCACCGCCACCTCCACCGCCCCCTCCAGCTCCACCCGCGCCCTTGCCCCCCTTGCCCTTGCCAGGGCGGCGTCTCCCGCTAGGGGCAGACGCCGCGCCGACCGACTCAAGACCAAGCAGGTCGGCAGCAGCAGCAGCAGAGGCAACAGAGGGCAGCATGGGGGAAGGAGAACACCCCTCAAAGATGGGGGTGCGAGGGTCACCACGAGAGGCTCCTACAGTGACGATGCTCTTCTCCGCCGCCATGAGGGCCTTCTCGAGGAGGTCGACAGTGAGAGTGGTGGGACAGACTGAGAGGAAGTGGTCCCTGACTACGCGAAGGGAGTCAGGGAGGCGTGTGACTATGTAGTAGAGAGTGATGTACATGGGGGGGGGGTTCTTGGCGCAGAACTCAGCAGGAAGGGCGGCGCGGTAGCGAGTGTCACTAGTGCGGAGGTGCGTAATGAGGTCAGCGACAGTGGGAAAGGCAGTAAGGTCAGGAAAGAGGTACGGTAGCATGAGGCGGCTCAGTGCAGCAGTGGCAGGGGAAGAATAGCGCGCAACTACAGCGTCGTATAAGGTCTGAGCACTCTTGTACTGACTAAAGTGCGCGCGCTCAGTGGTAGGCAAGTGGCGACGCACAGCAAGACGTGCAGCAGCATCGCGAGTGGCCCACTGAGAGCGAACAGTGGGGTCAGCATCAGCAGCAGGGGCAGGAGAGGCGCCAGAGGTGAGGTCAAAGAGAGAAAGACCGTCCGCCCTATCGCACTGTAAGAACAGCTGCAGGTCGTCGACCCAGACCTCAAAGTCAATGGCTCGACCCTCAGCGTCAAAAGCGAGGACACTAGGGGTAGCCATGACGACGACAGTGTAGCAGTGCAAGCAGTAGGGGAAGGGCACGCAGTAACAGTGGTATTGTGCTCACCGGGCAGGGCAGGTTGGGCGGCTCGGCAGTAGGGCGGCCCGGCGACTCGGCGGCTCGGTTGCTGGGCGGCTCGGCGGCAGGGCGGCTCGGCTCCCGGGCGGCTCGGCGGCAGGGCGGCTCGGCTGCTGGGCGGCTCGGCGGCAGGGCGGCTCGGCGGCAGGGCGGCCCGGCTCCCGGGCGGCTCGGCTGCTGGGCGGCTCGGCGGCAGGGCGGCTCGGCTTCCGGCGGTTCTGCTGCTAGGCGGCTCTGGTGCAGGGCAGCGCGGTGGCGCTGGTTCAGGGCGGCGCGGCGGTCGTAGGCGGCGGGGCCGGAAAGGTAGGCGGCGGGGCCACGAAGGTAGGCGGCGGGGCCGGTAAGGTAGGGCGGCGGGGCCGCGAAGGTAGGCGGCGGGGCCGCGACCGTAGGCGGCGGGGCCGCGAAGTGGGGCGGCGGGGCCGCAAAGGTAGGTGGCGGGGCCGCGAAGGTAGGTGGCGGCGGGGCCGCGAGGGTAGGCGGCGGGGCCGCGAAGGTGGGCGGCGGGGCCGCGAAGGTAGGTGGCGGGGCCGCGACCGTAGGCGGCGGGGCCGCGAAGTGAGGCGGCGGGGCCGCAAAGGTAGGTGGCGGGGCCGCAAAGGTAGGTGGCGGTGGGGCCGTGAGGGTAGGCGGCGGGGCCGCGAAGGTAGGCGGCGGGGCCGCGAAGGTAGGTGGCGGGGCCGCGACCGTAGGCGGCGGGGCCGCGAAGTTAGGCGGCGGGGCCGCGATGGAAGGCGGCGGGGCCGCGAAGTAAGGCGGCGGGGCCGCGAATTGGGGCGGCGGGGCCGCGAAGGTAGGTGGCGGGGCCGCGAAGTAGGGCGGCAGGGCCGCGAAGGGCGGCTCGACGCGACCGTAAGGGCGGCGCGACGGGTCGCTAGGGGCGACACGGCGGGTCGCTAAAAAAAAGGGAGCGCGACTCGAGGCGCGCTTCGGTGGGCCCTAGGAACAGTCCCTAGGAGGGGACCTGCTCTGATTCCATGTGAAAATGAGAACGAGGATGATGCACTAAGGAATGGAAGTGATACAAATATGGAACCCTAGAAATCTGTACCCCATATGTGCTACCCCACTATAGCCTACAACAGCTATGTCATATATATCTGACATGTTGCAGGTCATAGGCTTATCGCGTGTGAGAGTACACCCGTAAGCGATTTCTGGTAATCATTGATGTTCCGTCCCTCCCGCTTATTTCCCGTCCCACGCGCCGCAACTCCCTACCCTAACGCCACGATTCCCGTCCCTCCGCCCAGCTATTCCCTTCCCGTCGCGATACCTTTTCCCCGGCCCGATTATACCGTCCCGTGGTGCGTTTATTCTCTGGCTCGGACGTCTGTGCCCCCCCCCCCCCCCCCCCCCATGTGCGGGGGGAAACGGCTTCGTCGCGCCGCAGTTCCGTTCAATCACGGGTAACGCCACTTAAATGTTGTAGAGGACTCTCCTCTACTTTGCAGGAACTGGGAGTTGTTCTAAACGATAGAGCTCTGTCTTAGCTTTCCAACGAGCCGTCAAACACGTCGATCGCCTAAGTATTCTCCGAGATATAGGCGTTCATGTGCTAGGTAGTGCTCTTGAATGCAAGTATAGAAGCTCTCTGGAATTTGTGTTCGAATGTACCTTGTACAAAGACCTCTGGTTTTCAGTATGAAACATGCATACAAAGCGCACACATTTATAGCTACTCAATTTGTCGAATCGCACACGTAACATCCAGTTGCTACATGAAGTGTCGCGAATGTTCCGTGGGTAACATTTCGATGTGGTGAAATTCGTCAACCGAATTTCACACATTCGAATGTTCCTTTGGTCCTCGAATGTTCCACGTGCTGCCATGTGGCATCGAACTTCAAGTCTCCCGAAGTCAACCTGCACTTTCTCGAAACCTGCAGTGAAGTGAATCGGAAGCAACACATTCGGTGGTTGGGGGCAAACCTCCCCCCCACGCAACCTCCAATATTAAACACCCGTGAAACGCGTGTCTCCCGCCGCAAATCCCCCGTCTCCCGTCGGCTGTCCGTACGCACACTCTGTCGCTCTTTTTCCCGCACGATGCCACTCCCTACCACACATGCTTACATTCCCTTCGCCACACGATGCCTTTCCAACCACCCCCTACGCTGCCATTCCCTTCCTCTGTTGCTGCCTCTACCTTTCCCCTAAGCTGCCATTGTCTTCCCCTCTTGCTGCTCATCCCTACCCTCACGCTCTCCAAGCGCTTCCCATGAAGACGGAACCTAAACTCCGTCCTGTTGGCTTCACCCCCCCCTCCCGTTGCTCTTCACTTTCCCCTCCCGTTGCTCTTCACTTCCCTCCACCGTCGCCCTCGCTACCCCCTGCCATCGCCCTGCTCATTCTCCCGTCGCCCTCTCTTCCCTGGCTCACCCTGTTTCCCATGCTCCTTCTCTTCTCCCTGTCTCAGTCTGTCTGTCTCCCCTGCTCATTCTCCTCCCCCTCTCCCCCCCAAGGGCCCACCCACTCTTCCTCAAGTTGTTGGTTCACTTGCGCTAACGCCTCCTGTACCCTGGGCTCCCCTTTTTCCCACTCCCACCATCCTTTTTCCACCCCCTCCTCTCCCCCTTCTCCTGCAGTCGCTGGTGCACTTGCGCCATCGGTGAGTGTGGGCCAGCAGCATCACCAGCACCTCTGTCTCGCTGCTCCTCGCCTTCCCCCGCCTGCTCTCCGCCAACCTCGCCTGGACTGCCCTCTCCCACCACCCGTCCACCTCTCCCTCACTGCCCTGCTCCTCCCCCCTGCCAGTTCCCTCTCCCCTCCTCCTCATCCTGTCCCTCCGCCTCATCTCCTTCCTCCACTCACTCCTCCGCTTCCTCCACCCCCCTCACTCATCTCGGTCTCTCTGGTGTCTCAGTCGCTCCTCCCTCCTCCCTCTTCCCCTCCCACGAGCTCGCCTCTTTCACTCACTTGGACCCCTCCCACTAGCGCGGCGCCACACTTCCTACTCCGCACCTCACCACCCTCCACCGCACTCCAATCCTCCTCACGCCCTCACACCCCGCCGTGCTGCTAGCATTGGTTACAAGCAGAAGTATCCCCTACGCACCTCCACCTCTCTACTGCTGCTGACTCTGACGCCCTAGTGTAACACCTCCCCGCACAGCCCCTGGCCTTTCCCCCGGTTCCCCGGTCCAATCCCCAACTTCCCCTACGATTTTTTCCCCACCCCCTCAGGGCCACAGCGCCTTTTCAACCAGGTTGGGAAGTGAAAAGGTGGAAGAGGAGTATGCTTTGAGAGAGTTGGGGTGGAAGGGAAGGAGCACCTTTGCAATGGTAACAATGTTGGAACACATGCACGACCTTCACGTCGGTGGTGTGCGTTTATTCGGGGTGGTTGTGTAACCGATCGTTGATTGCTATTGAACTGTAAGGTGGCCGTCGAGCATGCAAGTGGAATGGACCCGATGTACCGTACTGTACACGTTTTGCAGACACTCGGATGGGGGGACGAGATAGTGCATAATGCCTTGAAGAGACCCACACCCGCCATATTGGTAACAAGGAGACCCGAGGACAGTCGAGTGCACGTTAGCTCCAGACAGACCAGTGCATCTACCGTATGGCATGTGTACATCTGACCCCCCTATGGGACAGGGGATAACAATGGTATGGTAGATCTGTTGTTGGCGTCTAGTGTTCATAAAATGACCTAAACGTAACTATCACTACAGTGTTTCTGCAGCATGTACACAACCCTCCAATCCCTCCCTCTCATCCCTTCCAGCCTCTCCACACTTCATTGTGCATTATTATATCAAATATGCCAGTGCCACCGCTGCACATGTGCCCGCACCTGCCCTCCCTAGCGGGGGCACGTTGAGAAGAGTGAGAATCAGAGGCTGATGTAGTGGTCTGTGGCATAATCATCCACTTGAACACGCTGCCACGCTAGTGCAGGCCCATATCTGCCACCACACGACACAGACATAAGGCATGGGGGGGGAACTATTATGAGTAACATTGTGTAAGCATGGTGAAAAAGGGTGGCAAGACACAGGTTTGGAAAACCGAAGGTACAAGAATGGAAGCATGGATGGGGCAGCAAGCACAACCTTACGTACACGGTGTGTGTTAGTGGAACACAGAGGGAAGAAGGGCAGAACAAGGAAAGAAGACCCGAAATAGATACAGGAATGGGTGGAAGTGAGGGGGAGCACGGATGGAAGAGAGAAGGAGCAGGCGGGAAAATGACGGGGAGCAAAGGGGGAATAGGAATGGAGAAGGGCGGAAATGAGGGTGAGAAGAGGGGGATATGTGCTTGGGAGCAAGGCGGGAAATGATGGTGAGAAGTGGGGGGACTGAGAGGGAGCAAGGGGGGAGAATGAGAGGGAGCAAGGGGGGAGAATGAGAGGGAGCAAGGGTGGAAGTGAGAGGGGGCAAGGTTAGAAATGAGGGGGGCAAGGCGGGGGAGTGTGATGGAAAAGGGGGGGGAAATGAGAGGGAGAAGGGGCTGACATGTGGGGGAGAAGGTGGGGAAATGAGTGGGAGCAAGGGAGGGAAATGGTGGTGTGGTGACAAGGGGAGGGGGAGAGGGGGCGGCAGATAGGGAGCTACGGGGGGGAATTGAGACAGACCCTGGGGAAATTAGCGGGAGTATGTGGGAAATTGAGAGGGATAATAGGGGTATTTGAGAGGAACATTAGGGTAGATGATGGAGGGGGAGAAAGAAAGGGGCAGGACGTGGGGGGGAGGATGATTGGGGGAGCCCAAGGGGGTGTTTATGAAAGGGGCAGGTCATGGTGGGGAGAAAGAATGGGGAGATTGAAAATGTGAGAATGAACGGGGCAGGTCATGGGATGGAGTATGAATGGGGGAGATCAAGGGTGTGAGAATGAGAGGCACAGGTCACGAGAGGGAGAACGATAGGGGGGGGAATGGTTGGGGGGAGTTCGATTGGGGGGGGATGATAGGGGGAGCTCGATGGGGGGAACATGATGGGGGGAGAGAGTAAAGGGAAGGTCGATGGGGGGAGAATGAAAGGGAGTGGTGGATGGGGGGAGAATGATAGGGGGAGTTCGAAGGGGGGAGAGAGATAAGGGGGGGCTGGATGGGGGGAGAGTAAAGGGGAGGTTGATGGGGGGAGAATGATAGGGGGAGGTGGATGGGGGGAGAGAGTAAAGGGGAGGTAGATGGGGCGGGAATGGAAGGGGTCCCTCAATGGGGGGAGACTGGTAGGGGGGGGGGTCGACGGGGGGGGGGGATGATAGGGGGAGCTCGATGGGGGGGGGAATGATAGGGGGAGTTCGATGGGGGGGGGGGGGAATGATAGGGGGAGCTCGATGGGGGGAGAATGATAGGGGAAGCTCTATGGGGGAAGAATGGTAGGGGGACCTCAATGGGGGGAGAGAGTAAAGGAAAGGTCGATGGGGGGAGAATCATAGAGGGAGGTGGATGGGGGGAGAGAGTAAAGGGGAGGTAGATGGGGGGACGGTCGAGGCGTGAATGCGGTATGATAATCGCGTCAAAGCAGACCCGCCGTAGTATACGCGCTCATGTTCAAACGCGATGGTTCTAATGCGGCTGTGCGAACGCGAAGCCGGTTCGCACAGTTGTACGATGTCCGGCCTTGTCGTCTAAAGACCAGCCGCAAAACGCGGCTCAACGAAAGCGATGCCGCACATGGCTCGGCGCACTTCGTTCATGCAATGTGGGGATCGCGAAATTCTACGTAATTCTACCACCTAGACCCTAAACGTATGAATTGGCAGGGTGCTTTTTGACCTAAGCGTCACGGACGCCCATTATGAAAGTTCTCCTCCTCACCGCCATCGTGACACCTTATGTTCCAGCAATGTCGCGTCACCCGCCTTTTTTCCTCACGTACCTCCAGTTTTATGGGCGAATGTGCATGCGAGCAGCGCGGTGTAGGAGCTTGTTGCTCGAGTAGCAGTATATTAGTGGCCTAAGAAACGCGGGAAAAAACGCTGGGAAATTTGGGACAAGTTTGTTTGCCTGGTAGGCATGTGTGAGGAGGTTGGCTTTGGCCAACATTGTCGCCCTGCAATGTGCCGAAGTGTTTGTCGTCCTTCCGACACTGATTTCACCTGGGTTGAGTTCACGACCAAGGTTGGGTGTACATCCGTTCCCTCCAAGGCAACCGGGTTACACCCAACCAACGTTAGGAAGGTGAACCACATTTCCCTTTCTTGACCCACGGGTTTTAATTGAGGCTTGATGGGGAGGAGGAACAAATATTGATGACGGGAAGCAACGGTGATGCTAGGGCTTTGACTGGGGGCTGGCGGGGGCCCCGGGGGGTATGGGGAAAGGGGATTCGGGGATGGGGAACTGGGTCAAGTGCAGCTGGGGCAGTGTTCAGTTCAGGTCGGTCAAAAGGCTGGGTTTAGAGGGTTGTACAGGGGTGGGCAGGGTGGAATTGACAAAGACAAGGGTTTGCAGTGAATGTGGATTCTCCCACACTTGCAGTATCGCCGAATTCGTTCCTGCCAAATTGTAACCAGCTACGAATGGTTTCTGTTTTGCCGAGTCATATTTGGGACATACGATGTAGACTACGTTGGAAATGTTGAGTTATGTAAGAAAATTCATCTTCCTTATTTTGCGTCCCTGCTCAGCGCGTACACCACTGTTCCCGCCAACAGCACCCAATAGTAATCCGTAACCACGCGACACTCGCCTCGACACTGTTCCCGCCACTGTTCACGACGCGACCCAACCTCACGGTTCGTTTGGTAACCCGCGCTCCGGACTTCCGCCTCGATATTTCCCAACCTCGCCGCTGAGCCCATCGCACACCCCATTTTCCGCACATTACCGTTACCACTGTAGTTTCGCTATATATTCTTCGCTCATGCCTTTGCTCATTCTACTTTTGCTTCAATAGGCAATTCTCGCTCGCTCACTCAATTACACTCGTAAAACTTGATTATCAAAGCCTACCATCTCTTCTCGGACCGCGCCCACACCTTCGCTTCTCCACTATCTCATTTTTTGGGGGGGGGGGGAGTAGACGTCCCTCAGCGACACAAGCACCGCCGCTCAAAGTGTTCTCTCGTAAGCACGCACGGCCACGACAGAGGCTCTCGCTGAGCTTGCCCAACACCCCTGCCATGGCCGAATTCACTCTCGCGACACTGACACAAAAGCAACTTGACCGTCTCGTGAGCCAACTTAAAAATTCGACACTTGAAGTTGCAACGCCCACAGCGGAACTTGACGCCGCCCGCCGGCAATCTGCGACAAACGCACCTACACCAACACAGACACCCGCCAATGCACCTGCACAGATGGACGAGCCCATCGTCATCTCGTCCGGCACACTGTCACAACACGACAACGTGGGACCGCGCTTAGGCGTAGCCAGTAATGGCGCCGCTCAATCGATGCCTAACATGGAGAGAAACAGGGCCTCGCCAAGTCCACGGGAGCCTCGCGAAGCCCGTCGACATGTGGAATTTGCAGCGACAAGTGGCGACCACGCCATCATGGCACCAATGCCACTCAAGCCGCAGCGCCCGGATTTTTTCGACCCGAGCGAGCGTGGAGGTTCGACGGTTCAGTCGTGAGTCTTAACGATGAACGTGTTTTTCAATGCGAACTACGTCGAGCTGGACGCAACAAAGATCAGATATGTCGTCTCGCTGCTGAGGGGCCCCACCATGGACTGGTGGCAAGTCATCGTGACGTCGCCACGCACCTACGAGCCACTGTCGCAAAAGGAAGGGCCCACGGGTCCAGCCGTCACCTGGAGTTCATTTTGCAAAACCGCCCAGTACAGCACGTGGGATGCGTGGTGCGCAAGGCTTCGGGCGCGCTTCGAGCCGATCGTGGCTTCTATATCCGCGCGTCAGAGACTACGTACTTGGCGGCAACTCGGGTCGGTTCGAGACTATACGAGCGGTTTTCTTGCATTATGCGAGCAACTCGGCTACATGCACGAAGCGGAGCGGGTGGACCATTACGTC